TCGCAACGTTCGAAATACCTACATTCTGTGCTGAAGATCCGGATACGACGCCGTTGGCTGCGATGACATACAAGGATCAAGTGCCTTGTCCGGATAATCGACGGCCGTTGACTAACCGGGGTGGCGGTCGGTGGAGTAGCTTGATGTCCGCAGCGCAGAGCTGGTGTCAACGCCACCGCCTTCATGGCGCATGTTGAAGACGTCGTCCCATCGTCCCTCGATGAAGCCGATGGCTTTTCCGAACTCAAGGAACTGAGAAGAAAGATTCGTCGTCGGCTTCTCACGCACGGGCGAGAACGAGGTTCACTGGCTTGGGCTCGCAACATGATCACGAGCGTATAACCTGCTTTTTCTGATTTCTCTTATGACGCATGGTCGCTAAGTGGGGCTAACATTGCCCAAAAAATTAAATATATTTATATTTTCGGTGGTATGTGCGAATTGGACCGCACGCTTATCAGCCGAGAGGTAAGGCAGTCGACGTCGATGCTGGCTATCATCAGCACTTGAAAAGACCGCGGGCACTGCGAGCCATCCTTTGAATGATAGGAATCGAATTTTCGATTTTCTGAATTTTACGATTCACAACCTCCACAACAAGGGGCAATAGAAACAACATGATGTTGGCCCCTTGCTCCATATCGACCCTGCTGCACTCGAGTGTGCGGCCAAAGTCGCCTTCCCACAATGCAGCAAGCGTCGCTTCGTGGATTTTAAATTTCAAAGGCGGGGATCCCGACCCAACGACCGACATTCGTGACACATTCCGATGGCGCTGACGTGCGAATCTGGAATCCTCGGGAAGATGCGCTGTCGAGTGACGGAGGCGCGCTCACCATTAGGAATGGATTTATGTGGCATGCATTCGTACAGGTTAATGCATTAGGACCATGTGTGATTGTGTCTGTAGTACGTGTCTGCTGTGTACACATGTACATGATAGAGTCGCGGTCGCAACCGCAAGGAATAAAACATAATTTTCCATTGGCAAAACTGAGTGGTACGTCTTGGCAGATTGGCCTTGCATGACACGAACGCGTCACTGCGTGCGATCGTTTCAACCGAGTCTGCGTCGATAGCGAGCAAGGGAATTAAAATCTATCTCCTTGATGGCGAGCGATGCAAGAACGACATGTCATGTCCATGGAGTGGCGACGTGGGTGATCATGTCCAACACGGATGCGTCGTCGTCTCTGCCCTGTGGACAGCGAACGAACGAACGAACGATCGATCGAACGTGCGACGCATTCTGGGTCCAAAGACAAGGGCGCAGACACTTCGAATCCATTGCATGACGAAGAGGGAGCCCGACGTCATTGCTTTGGGCACTGGCCCACGCGAAGCTCGTACAGTATCAAGTGTGTGGGTTCAAAAGTATCAATGTATGCAGTTGATACATTTCACATGCGAGGTTCATGGCTCGTCGTTTGGATGCAACATGGGGCCCAAACTATGGTCATCGTTCCTAAACTCTCATGTACTAGTAATGAATGTCCCGGCGGCTCAAAAATACTTGGCGAGCTACCCATGAAATTCGCTGCTTGAACGCATCTTCATATTCGAATGCCGTGATTATACTCTCGGTCTCGTCTGTAGCAGGACTCGGTAGCGTGGTCTTGTTTGCTAAAGGTAGCGTCCATTTCATTCCATTCTCCCTTTGCGAATACTGGTAAGACTTGCTTTGTGGCTGGATATGGGTTTGATTGCTTGATTGCTTGACCGACTGATTGATTGATAGTTGGATTTGCATGCCCTAGCGATATATCCAAGCCATGGTCCATCGTCGACTCTTAACCCTTCAACGCCTGACTTTTCGATGTTGCTTGAGAAGAACGTCCTGTGTGAAATGTTAAATGTGTTGAGAAGAGCGTCCAGTCGTATCAATAAGGACATTCGACGCAGGGTCACCACTCGTCGACGTCGCTCTCGTCACGCGTCTGTGCGCAAAAGGTGCACAGAATGTCTTCGTCAATGGCTTCGAACGAGCTGCTATTGCGGTGCGTCTTCCACTTGTCGTTCTGGGACGGAATGAACGGGACGGGCCGGCCGCCCACGATCGCGCGATCCCGCGCGTCACCGGCGTATTTGCGCGGCAGCTGCATCGGCGACCAAATAAACATGGACTTTATCTTCTTGTGGCACTTCTTGGCGGCCTTGGCCCGGCGCTTGGCCTCGGCGTGGTATGGCAGCTTGTGGCACGTGCATTCCGCCCCTTCTTTCGCCGGCAGCAGCTTGCGCCACCACATCGTGAGCGTCGAGGCTTCTCTGTGGTGGTCCTCTCGACCTTGGATGGCCATGGTCCCAATGTCCAAATAAAACGAGGCAGTGATAGCTGCAACTCGCACCAACTGGGTTTCGTGATGATGCCAGCTGGGAATCTCTCGCATCATCCACGATGGCTTTGGCTCTGCATGGGAACAAGCAAGCTGCTACTGTGCCTGGTATCGATGATGCGTGTACAAAAAAATGATGGGATTGTGCAGCAGTAGCGGACGAGCGTGATTACACGAGTCGCAGCAGCGCACAGCCGTCAAGAGCGCTGCATTAGGTACCGGTACCGCCGGTACCATGCACAGCAGCTCGACAGAGGAGCTCTAACGATGGTGCAGGAGATACTACGATTGAGATTCAATCGACTTGGTTATCGCGTTGCCTCTGTGCTGCAGAAAGGTAGAAACGGCGCAGGAACTTTGGCACACAAGACAGAGCAGAGGTGATGTGTCCACGCACAACCCAACCAATGGACCCAAAACATGGGACGGGACAGCCATCGAGATTCCAGACCTGCGACAGTCGACCGGCTTGCTGCTCCGTGCGCATGCCAAGAGACAGTGTCGGTGATGGTCTTCCGCCCGTCGATTCCTATCACTGCTTTGGCAGCGAGACGAGACGTGCAGTGCAGTGCGAATCACCCTTGCACGGCCTCGATCCGACGGCCGTTCGTTGCTCTACATTTTACAGCAGTCTCTTTGCCTTGAATCTTGCATGACGCGTGCTATGTGCGCGCGTGGCCTTCAGTTTGGGTGGTTCAAGCTCGACGAGATTCTGTGATTCGTTCATTAAATAGTACAGTACTGTGCGATTGGTGGCGCTTAAATAGTTCTAGCAACGGTCGATGACCCGTGTGTCTAGTAGTCGTCCTCGAGGTCGTGGCTCGTGACCGTTGAGAGACTCGACCGGGCCATGCAGCCTGGGCACACGATCGGTTGGTTGGCGTCAAGCGCGTCGTCGTCTTCGGCGATTGCTTCAAACGTGCGCGCCTTGCGGTAGTTCTTCCAGCGCTGGTTTTGGACCGGGCAGTAAGGCACGCGGTGACCGCTGACCAGCGTCTTGTCCTTCTTCTCCATGCGGAACTCGTCCGGAAGTGGGATCGGAGCCATCGTGGCCGCCGTGCGTGCGGGCGGGGCCATCGCTTGGCGGCGGCGCGCCGCGAGCACGTTGAGCTGCACGCAGGTGCAGATGTACGCTTGTGTGTCCTTGATCGGCTCCTTGGCCGCCGGCGTCGTGTGCGAGAACGGGTGCACCACCTTGGTCCATAGCTTCTTCAAGCCCGAAGGCTTGGTCGACGACTGCTTCGAGAGGCAGACCATGGGCGTGTTGTGTGTGGGCAGATGTAAAAGTGACCGCTTCTGAAGCTGGTCAAAGCGCCACCTGCGACAAACCCGATTTCTAACCCGCCGCCGGCCATTGGCCAATGGCGTCGCTTTGATTATCCGGATTGTTGCGATCCGGCCAATCATATCGCGTATAATGGCGGCAAATTCACTGACGCACGGATAAGCGATGTGGATTTTTCACTCTGCACCTGCCATGCCTCTCTCGGTGGTTGCCGCAGTTGATCGACGAAAAGCACGCGAGTGTACGGACAAATGCAATATTCTTGAGTTATCTATACCTATATAAGTGGCTACTTGCATGCGTACCCAGCATCGTTCAGAAGACACAAAGGGGCGTCGCTGCTTTTGTTGCGAGAACGACCTGCGTGCTGTTCTTGGCGTGTGCATCGTAAGAAATGGTGGTTTCATTATATTACACGTGGGTAGCAGGCAGGTCCACAAACACAACGTCCGAAGAATGTGGCGCCAGCGATAAAAACAAGGCCGCAACTTGAAGCTCGGACGGCGTCGTCTTGGTTGCGACAGCGGTGCAGCTCCGCGCTGCATAAGTTGGCGTCGCACGAGCTGCAAACTATAATAGAGCGCGTGCGTCATCGAAAGCGTTCAACGGCCAAAAATGCTTGTCAGAAAAGCGACATGCACCACCCAGCATGTCATGGCGTCGGATACGAGCGATTCCGACCGAGTATCTTGAGCGGCATCGAACAAGATGCGCGTGCGTCGTCTTCAAGTCGGAATGTCCAATCCTTTTTCACGATTTAAAAAGTTAAAAACCAAAATCGACCAAAATTGACAAAAGAGGGATTTGATGCGCACTGCAAACCCACTGTCCCCGCGCTCGGTAGAAGACCGAGCGAGAAAAGCTATCGAGAGAATGCGTCGGAAGACGATCGCTGTCGTGTGTTTTCTGCGCGGCTGGTCGTCAAAGCTACTACTTCAACTTTGCCCTTGGCGCGCTTTCGCGGTACGGCGTTTCAGGAGCAAGCACGTAGGATCCGAGTCGGATTCGTGATCGGCATCGACAATGTTCACTCGAGAACGAAGAAGGCGTCAGCACCATCGGGTGCACTAAGAAGAACGCGACCGACGATCCGAGGCGGCGTGAATCATTGACGTGCATGCGTCACAAGAACAAGATCGCTTTTAAAATAGAATACCAACAGGATGGTTGGGATTCGATCGAGGTCGCCAACAGAAGCCGCTAAAAGATGTAAGACTAGTATTCTACAATGTGGTCGACTTGAGATTCATTATTGACACTGAGTCTATATTGGAGATTCGAGATGCGTCGCCGTGCGACAGCGACTGTCCACTGCTGTGGCGCCAATGTCCACGGCCTGAATCGTCGTGTCCTCGATGCGAGCACTGTAAAGTCTCACAGCGTGTGGCACTGCACTCACCTGTTCAGATCCGATTTGCTAGAGACGGCGAGGACAGACAACGTCTACGCCGTGTCCAGCTCCTACGCGCTTACCCCTGCCCAACAGAGGCGACCAAGCCGATAGAGCACAGCAGTATCCGTTGATATTTTTTCTTGCAAGTCGCCCGGTATTGAATAGATTGCGGAAGGTTCATAAGAAAATGGTGTCATGGTAAGCCTTCAACCAAGGCGCTCCGAGATTTCTCCGAGATTTGCCAGTGGCGAACCTCATCAATCCTTTTTTGAAAGGCAACGCCGATTGGCCAAAAATAATCCAATTGCATGTTACACACGGCTTTGATTGGTCACAATTTGCGACCACCCCCACGATGATCGCAAAATGATGGCACACTTCTTGAACCAGTGGACAGACGGCGGTGCAAGTCCATGGAGCTCGAGCTGCGACTGCGGTCCAAGGCGCAGGAAGACCGCGTGAATATCCTCACGTACTCGTCGTGGGGCGCCCCGCACGTGACGTTCCCGCAGTACCTTGTCCGCGAAGCCCATTTCCGGTCGACGCAGTTTGGCGCGTGGATGGCCGACTACGTCTTTATCCCTAAAAATGACCCCGACACCCTCGACATTCGAGGGTACCTCGAGATTTTCCAGCGGCGCGCGGTCTTGCGGCCCCACGATGGGTCGCCGGCCATTACGTTTGACGCGTACAGTGTCGCCTCGGTCTTTACACCCGAAGGGTACCGGAAGCAAGGCCTTGGTTCGGCCATGCTTGCTGCTTTTCTTGAGCGCATGGCGGTCATGACCGACAGCAGCTCGGGCAAGGCGTTGCCATACCTCGTCTCGAACCTCTACTCGGACGTCGGAACGTCGTTTTATGCTAAGTGCGGCTGGGACCTTGTCGCCTCGGACGAAATCCTGCTGCCCGTCGCGACAACCTTGCCGGTATACGACGCGTCGCTCGTTTTGATCACGTCGCTTGCAGCGCTCGAGCCCATTGCGACGCTGGACCGTGCGGCGATGATCGCGACTCTGCGCCCTGGCGAGGTTGGCTTTTTACTCACGACCGACTGCATTGAGTTTTACCACGTCAAGCACCGCTACTGTGGCGTGCACCGTCACCAGATGACGACGCTTCCAACCAACTACGGCGCCTACCTTCAAGAGAAGGGTACTATCCGCGGCTACGTCATTTGGACGTACAACTTTGAAGAAAGGACGCTCGATGTGCTCAAGTTTCGGGCGCTCGACGACTCTGCAGACACTTTTGCAGCGTTTGAGCCGACGCTACATGCCGAGGCCGCGGCCTGGGGCTTGGACCACATATGCCTTTGGCCAACGAAAGACATGGCCTTGCCGGAATCCATACGAGCACTTGCGCGCCCCCGTGACGACTCGCTCTCGATGTTGCTCGTGCAAGGCAATCATACAGGCCCGGAAGACGATGATACGAATAGCGCCAAAACGTTTCAGTGGGTTGCGGACGAGCTCTACCTCTACGCGTAGATCACTCGTGTCCGAGAATGCCATGACTGACGTACTATAGTCATTGCAATCAACTTGAAGTATCTATTCGTCCAAAGGTTCTTGTTTTGCCAGCAACACCGTGGCTACAACTGTCCACGTATGTGGCGCGGGATTGGCTAGAAAAGTAGCCAATACGATCGCGCTTTTCGAAAAGCGCACATAGGATTGGCTAAAAACCATTGGCGAAATGGCGTGCGTTTAGCCTGTCAGTCGACAGGCCATAAGCATGGAACTGCGCCAAGGCTCCGCGGCCCAAGGCCATCAAGTGAGTGTGCTCACGTACCCTGAGTGGGGTGCGCCAATCGTATCCTTTGAAGAGTACCGCGAGCGCGAAGTGCAATTCCGCGCCTCCGCGTTTGGCCAGACGCTCGTGACCGACTACGTCTTGGTGCCCACAACGGACCACAGCACGCTCGACCTGCGCGGGTACCTGGAGGTCTTTGCGCAGCGCTGCATCCTTTGGCCGCCCACCGCGCTTACGCCCATTTGCGTGGATGCCTTTAGCGTCGCGTCGCTCTTCACGCCAGAGAACCATCGGCGAAAAGGCTACGGTGCCATCACGCTCCAGGCCTTCTTGGCGCGCCAGCGATTCGACTACATCGTGTCCAATTTGTACTCGGACATTGGCACCAAGCTCTATTTGGCGAACGGGTGGTCGTCGCACCCGTCCGACGAGATTGTGCTCCCCGCCGACTTTGACGTTTCGCTCGTTCCCGTCGCAGCATCGGCACCGGTCGTTCTCACAGTCATCGACTCGATGGACGTCCTCACCGCCATCGCCGCCCGCGACCAAGCCGATATGCAAGCGGACCTTCAGCCAGGTCAAGTCGGTTTTCTTCTCACGGCCGAGTACATTGCGTACTTTCACGCCAAATACAAGTACTTTGCAACGCACCGTCTGGGCCTGGCCGAGCTCCCGACGTCGTACGGGCTCTGTGTGCGCGACCTTGCGACAAACGAGCTGCGCGGGTATGTGCTTTACGCCCACAATTTTGAAGACGACCAGCTCGATGTGCTCAAGTACCGCGCCCTCGGCGCCGACATTTTCGACGTCATTTTGCCGCATTTGCTATCGGAAGCCCGACAATGGAAGCTATCGTCCGTGGGTCTGTGGCCGACGTCCGCGATGGAGCTACCGTCCGAAATCGCCAAGCGTCGGACGCCCCGAAGCGACTCGTTGAGCATGCTCCTCGTCGAAGCCGCCGCAGATCGAGCACCCGTGACGGGTCTTGAATGGGTCGCCAACGAGAAATATCTCTACGCCTAACCACAACACAATGTTTGTGGCGTATTGGACGATGCGAATATGTCTACTGTTCCTTGATGACGTCAAACAAAACTCATACATGTTCTCCTCTAGTACTAGTACACGATAATGAAGACTCGGTTCACCACGATGGAGGGTGGTTTGAGGAGGAACCATGGTGCACTCGAGACGAAGGCGTCTGAGACCTCAAGTGTGCACTTCCACGATGTGATGCCATGATTCGCGTCGTTGATTGGCGGATTGCCGCTGAACTCATCCGGATACTGCGTTTTGAGTGGCATCGTCACGCCACCAACTTTGGTCCGAGTGCTTCCGCTGGCTTCATGGTCACGTCGCCCCCGCGCCCGCTCGGCGTCTCGCTGCGCTACTTCCACCACCTCATCGACACTTGCGGCGGCCGGAATAATCTCCACGGTCGCACCACCGCCCAGGTCTGCTTCGACCACATCGTGCCACTGACCAAGTCCACCGAGCTCTCGCTCGTCGACCATCTCACGACCGACGTCTCGACGCGCCATTTTGTGTCGGAGGCCAATTGGTACGTCTCCCATGCGTGGAGCTACCTCTTCTTGGAGACCGTCGACAGCCTCGAGACCTTCTTCGCCGACCAAGGCATGACCGACGAAGCGGTCATTTGGTTTTGTGTCTTCAACAACAACCAGCACCTCGCGCACTCGTACCCGTTCGAGTACTGGTCGACGACGTTCAAGTCGCAGCTCGCTGCGATCGGCAATGTCGTCATGATCATGCACCCATGGAACGACCCGATCGTCTTGCGTCGAAGCTGGTGCGTCTTTGAGGTGTACGTCGCTGTGACGATGCAGGCACGGTTCGAAATGGCGATGGCCCCCGGTCAACTAGACCTTCTCATCCAAGATATGCTTCGCCCAACGGCGCTCAAGGATATGCTGGGGACGATCAAGAGCGAGGCGTCCGAGACAACCGTGGCAAGCGACCGCGACGGCATCTTTGAGCTCATCCGCACCGAGACGTCGTTTAGAGCCGTCGATCGACTTGTCTTTTCAACGATCACCGACTGGATGAAGCGGGCACTGATGGCGCAGATCGCGTCTTCCCGTCTCTCGCCGATGGAGAAAGCGCACCGGTACGTGTGTCTGGCCAACATTTACGCAACCGAGTGGGCGTGGGCCGACGTCATCACGGCGGCAACTGACGCTTGCACGCTCTTGGCGTCGCCGACGGACGGCAACCGTATCAGCGCCAAGCTCCATGTGGGCGTTGCGCGCGCAAAGCGAGGCGATCCAGAGACGACGTGGCGACCGCTCTTTCAAGAGCTTTTGGCCATGGACGGCCTCGATCCAATGACCGTTTGCAGCGTTCGCAACGCGTTCGCGGACGCCCTGCACAGCCTCAAGCGGGACGCTGAGATTCGCGACCTCTGTCGCAAGACGTACGACCTTGCACAGGTGCACTTTGGCCCTGCGCACCAGGTGACGATATCCGCCATGTCCAAGCTGGGCGGCGCCAGCTACGGCCTCGGCGACTTTGACGACGCTGCGGTCTGGTTTCGCCAGTGCGTGGACGCGCGGCTGGCGCTCCTCGGACCCGACCACGCCGACACGCTCAACTCGCGCGGCTTCTTGGCGACGATCTACAACGTCCAAGGCAAGTTTCGCGCGTCCCGGGCTATCTTTTCCGAGAACCTCGCGGCCTTGGAGCGTACGCATGGCGCGCTGCATGCACACACGATCATTGCGCTTGGCAACATGGCGCACGATGACGTCGCCCTCGGTCGCTGGAAGCGGGCCCAAGCTACCCTGCTCGTCGCCGCCTCGCGGTCCCAGCGACAGCCACTGCCGCCAGCATACGCCTTTTTCCTCTTGTATGTCTCTGCGCTCCTCTACTGGTCGAGTGGCAGCTACGTCCGCACCAAGTACTACCTCGAGGCCGCGCTGGCCTTGTGTCAAGAAGCGTTGCCAGCTGGTGACCCGCTCACGACCAACGCGGTGACACTGCTCTACCGGTTCCTTTTGGACCCGACATTTGGAGCCTATAACCCAAGAGACGAGAAGGCATGGACACGCGTCGTCGCCTTCTTCAATGACAACGAGCTCGCGTCCGAAGCGTGGCCAGAAGAGGTCTGCCGAGCGTGTTGCCGACAGCTAACCGGTCGCATCTACGAGTGTGCTGCTTGTGTCCCGGACCTCTTTCGGTATTGCTCCAACTGCTTTGCCTACGCCAAGTTCCTAGCGTTCTGCGACCATGACACTGACGTCTTTCTCAGCCACGTGCCGCCGCGCCGGTACCTTATGGAGCAAGATATGCTGCAGAGTACATCGGTGGCGGCGGCGACGATGCTCTGGCCAGCATACGCCGCCTACTGCGCCAAGAACAGCGTACCGGATGACGAGCAAGCACGCTTTGCGAGCTTCGAGCCCATCGACACGCGGCCATGGCACCCGATGCTCTAGCTTCGGTACCGTCCGTCAAGACTATAGACTGTAGTCTTCTTATTGTTGTTGTTGCATTGTTGATGAAACGAGCAGCGGTCGGCTAGCGAGGCGACGTAACATCGCTGGTAAAGACGCGGTAGACGTCGTCTTGCGTCAAGCGCTGCGTGCGACTCGTCCACTCGTACATTCTTGCTTCGACGGTCGCGGCCATGACATACCTACGGCAACGCATCTTCCCACTAAGATCGCAGTGCATGCTGCGCACCGGTGCACGTAGCTGGTCTGCGTTTGGCTGAGCCGCTGGACGCGCGCCATCGCTTGTTCCTGCAACGCCGGCTCAAAGGTCGGCTCGACCAAGAACACATGGGTGGCCTCGACCAGATTGAGCCTACCACGTCCGCGTCCCATCAGACAAGTTGTCGACACGTGGATGTGTGCACGCACCCGTGATTGTACTTTTTCAGCGGTAATAGCAACACGCGGGCATTCGGATTGGACTGGAACTCTTCGCGCAAGCTTGTCTGACTCGTGCGCTGGAGGTGGAGGCTCGCAATGTGCTTGGCCGATAGCGCCGTCTGCAGCAGGCTCAAGGCCTCGGGCCACTGCGAGAAGACAATGCATTTGGTCGTCGCTTCGTCTTGGAGCGACGCGATCTCATCCACAATGACATCAAACTTGCTGCCTGATGTCGGGTTGCGCAAACGGGGCACGGCGCTGAGCGGAAACGGGCTCGGCCGGGCACACAGCGGACACACCGGTGTACTATGCGCGCAGCAGCCGCCGCACAGCATGTGGCCACACGCGAGGAGCTGACACGCCTCCCTACACGTCGACGCTCGTCCTGCGACTCCGGTTCAGAAAAGATGATGGGACCATACATGGTGGCCGAAGCGACGAGGCGCAAGCGGTCGCAGTTCACGGACGCACCCTGTGTGAGCGTCGTCT